ACCTGTCCACACAACTACTACCTGTCCACACAACTACTTGTCCACACAACTACCTGTCCACACAACGACCACTTGTCCACACAACGACCACTTGTCCACACAACTACTACCTGTCCACACACGACCACCTGTCCACACACGACCACCTGTCCACACGACAACCACCTGTCCACACGACAACCACCTGTCCACACGACGACCACCTGTCCACACGACGACCACCTGTCCACACACAAGGAGTACCTGTCCACACACAACGACGACTTGTCCACACACAACGTCCACGTGTCCACACACACAATGACCACCTGTCCACACACACTGACCACCTGTCCACACACCGACCATATCAGGTGTCCAAAACTTACACCGTCAGGCATCTATTCTTCCACTTATACCATGGTACACCCTGACACACTCACTGACACACAGTGAAAGAAGAAAGTGCTATATGTTGCCATCAATGTATGTTTCCATACAATGGTGAAATTAGTTCTCTGCATTTAACCCAATCACTCCTGAGATACACCAGGTGGAGCAGTGTGCAGCTATGTACACGGAGCAGTTAGGAATCGAGTTTCTTGCTCAAAGTTTCCACAATATGTGGGAATGGCTGGGAGTCGAACCGTGATTTTCTGATCCCAGGTCGGTTGCCCTACCTCTACACCATCTTGGCCCCCCACCAATGACACACATACACACTAACAGTGTATGGCCTAGGTCACTGAATGGCGGACTCCATTCCGGATCCGGACCGAAATGATTCCTCGTGCAGATCCGAACTTATATTAACCATGAAACATTAGTTCAGTCGACGCTGTTTCTATTTTTCTTGAACAAATCTATTCCACTTGATTAATAGGAGAATACTCAATCCACTAAAAATCCACTCCAGGTTTTCCTGGTTGCCTACATCTCCCCAGCAGCCTGCAGTGTTTCTCCTCTGCGTCTCCTTCCTCAGCAGAGATCACTCACAGCTTCACTCAGCTGAGACTTCTCTGTGTTGCTCGCCAGCTTAGCGAGTTTAGTGCGGGCAGTTGTTGACCGGGGGGGGGGGGGGGGGGGTGTTAGGATGATAGACATATATATATGTTAGGATGCAGTGTTTCCCCTAGTTAGCTTGCCATGGCGGGGTGCCCATCTCATCTATGACTTTTGCTGATGGGGTGGACAGAGACGTGTCTGAGCGCAGCTTGTACTAACAGTTTTTGAGCGGGGGTGGTGGGTGTTCATCATGAGGGAAGAGGCAATGTGAGTGCTGCCTTTGGCTTTTTAGCTAGAGAGCCTGCATTTTGCGCCACTAGCTTAGTGATGTGTCAGTGCCGGGTAGGGATGGGAGGGGCAAGATCAGTTTGGTAGGCGGGGTGCTCAGTTCTGTTGACAGGGTGGGGCACCCCGCCTGTATAATGGTAGGAGAAACACTGGGATGCTTTGAGAGAAGTGGAGCGCTACGTCTGTAGCATCTTAGCTTAGCATTAGTGTGTTACGCTGTAAGACGCTGTGTGTTCAGGTGCATTAAAGTTAAAATGTCTTTAAAACCCACAGCTGAATTTACACAAACTTGGTGAGAATCATGCTTTAAATGTGTGGAATTAAAATAAGAAAATCTAGATGAAATGTTGCTTTTTTTTGCACACTGGTGTGTGTGTGCGTGTGTGCGTGTGTGCGTGCGAACACACACACACTCTGTGTTCCCCCCCCCAGTTACAGATTCCTCTGACGCCCTTGAGTGATTTTAAATGATGTGAAACATGTTGCATGTTATTAAAGTTAACTGAAGATATCAGGTTTAATTTTTATTTATTTATTCAACACCACAAACTGTATGTCACAAAAATACTGATGAGAAAACTGAGCACACTATTAAAACACATTAACCAAACTGTAAACTACATGAACTATATATCACATTAAATAGTTGGACTTCCGAACCTTGGCCTCATGAAATTTTGTCTGACTGGACCTCTTTAAATTATAACTGAATACCGCTGGTGTATGGGGTTCCTCCTGACTGTAGAGCTGCAGCGTGCCTCTCATACCTCTGCAGATGGTGGAGCTGCTCAACCCTGCCTTCCTCTCAGATCATTTCCCTCAGCAGCTGACTCCTCGCCAGCTGCTCGGACCAGCCTAAAGTCTCCACATAGCACACATAGCACACACACTGACACATGAAAACACACACCGCGCAGCAACCATCAGTCACAACACATTCCTAACGTGCTCCTACAAACGTTCACTTTGATGTCGAGGACTTTAGAGACCATTTCGCCACCTGCTGGTGAACATGTACCTCTGTTGTTTTTAATTCTTCTCAAAAACATTCGTCTGTACTCATGTTGGAATAAGCTCCTCGCTTGTGTGGAAATGAAAATCTATTCAAGTTGCTGTCGTCTTAAATGATTTGAGGCAAAACGTCTGAACCTCCCACGCTGCATTACTAGTAAACGTCCACATCGCACCACGGCACAGTCTGGTTTGTTGCTGTGTTTTTCAGACTAACATGGTCGGTGTTCCTACAGTTCAGCTGGTGGTGCACACCTCAGAGGCTCTGATCATTGTTTGCTGATGACAGTTTAACGTGTGTAACATTTGCATTGGCTTCCTGCTGAACAAAGTGAAGAAGGTCACTACTACTTTGAGTCTGACAGATTACTCAGGGAGTTTTGTGAAATGATGCTAAAACCAGTTGAATGTATTATCAAACCATTAGACTGATGTGATAATGGGTTTGTGTTAACGTGTTGAACCTTGTGTTGCAGGGTGAGCGATGAGAAGGATGCTCGGGGTTACCTGCAGGCTCTGGCCACTAAGATGACCGAGGAGCTGGAGGGTCTGAGAAACACCAGCCTCGGAGCCAGAGCCACGGTACCAAATGTTTCCCACCTTGTTTCAGTTCACTGTAGGAGCTGCTGGGTCTAAGAAAATCAGCTGATTGTTGGTGGACAAGCAAACTGATTCTGTTTGGACAAACTAAAGCCTGTTGTATTGTAGTAATTTACATTTATAAATAACAAGCTTGAAATGATGGTAGGTCCCTGTTATTTTCAGCCTTTTTGTCCTCTGTTGCAGGACATGCCGTGGAAGATGCGGCGTTTCGCCAAGCTGGACATGTCTGCGCGCCTGGAGCTGCAGTCGGCCCTGGACACAGAGATCAGAGCCAAGCAGAGCATCCAGGATGACCTGAACAAGGTCAAAGCTGACAACATCTCCACCGAATGGTAAGCACCCCTCACTGCTGCAGCTGATCTCCTCCAACTGCTGTCTGTGATACAAGATGATCTGTGGGCCACCAGCAAACTGCAGGAGGTGGAGAGTAAAAACCAGGAGCTGCTGGCAGAGATCGAACGGCTGAGGAAGGAGACTGAGGAGCTGCGGCTGCGCAGAGGTAAATCTGGCGACTGCTGCAGACACATCCTTAGTTTGTAAGGCTTCATGTTAACGGACTCTGCAGACCGGAGGGATTAACTCAGTAAATGAGGGGTTTATAATCACAGCTCTGCTTCAGCGCCCACAGGGTACACACACGTATTGTTCTTAGGTCATATGAAACCTGGTCCAGGTCTTAGACAGAGTCCTGTGACCCATTTAAAGTCACTCTTTGATGTTTTAATGCCGACCAGCCGTTGTGTGTCTGCAGGGGTCAAACACCAGGACTCTCAGAATTCCTTCTTGGCTTTCCTCAACGCGCCCACCTCCGCCCTCGACCAGTTCGATGTAAGTTTGACCAAACGCCCTTGTTAACATAAAACTGATGTGAGCCAACAGTTCGAAATGTTTGAGACTCGTTGAAGCACAATCAAAGAATATCTTACCTGTTGTAGATAGCTGTTTGAAAGCTTTCAGTTTGTGGAAATGATTCAGTTCTGACAGGACTGATGAGCTAGTCCAAAAACACCCAAGGCTAAAGAGGGTTCTGTCATCTTAAAACACTCTAATCTAGTTCTATAACAGCTAGCTGAGCACTTCCAGTACTGTTGGGGAACATTTGAGCAGGAATAATCAGATGGTGCCAGCTAGGGCTGGGCCATATCGTATCGTTCACGATAATACTGGTAAAAAAAAAGCTTGCCTGAGAAAATAAGTTATATCATGATATGCTAATTTCACAACATAAATATGTCAATGTTTCCCCTACACAAGCGGGGCGCCCCACCCCATTAACAGAACCGAGCGTGCCGGACGACCGAACCGAACTGCGCACCCCCCTCCGCCTGTCTGTACTGGTGTAACGCTAATTAGTTGTGTGCAATACTAGCTAGCTAAAAAGTTAAAAACAAACAATGCACGTCTCAGCTGTCTCTCCACCCCACTCTAAGCTGCCGGTACAAACGCAGCTCGGCTTTTTTTTCTCTCCCCACCCCTCTCTGCTGCCAGTGTGGCCGCAGCTCGGCTCCCCTGCTCTAAACTGTCGGTACAGACACGCGCAGCTCAGCTGTGTCTCTTAATTCCACAGTGCATGGACCAAGAACAGAGTCAGGTGATCAGAGACAGAGCATCAGGGAAATGAATCATTCCTGCAGGAACAGAGGAAGCTCAAACACTACAAGCTTCAGGGTCAGCTGATCACCTTGTTACAACTTCTGGAAGTTATAGCTCATATAAAGGCAACATATTTTTTGTTGTATGTTACATTTAAGCCCCCAGTATACTCTTGTGTACGTACACGTAGGTACACGCATTCCTCCGCAGGGCATGTCTGCGCAAAGCTCAGTTTTTACGTACGCGGTGTCGCACAATAAACTGTTCGGCAGCGGACTGTTTTGTATGTGACACCAATGTATTAAATTCCTCTTCTTCATCCCTGATCTGGCCTTTTCTTTTGTTTTTTTGCCAAGAGGCAGTGATTTCTTCCTCTTCCGTTGATGCCATGACGGAAATGGTGAGAAATGAAGGAATTTGTCACGAGCGAATTAAACTCAGGTCCAGCATGGCTGCGGGAGGGTCTGGAGATTTCCTGTTGAGCTGGTCTGATGTGTGGGCTGCAGGACCAGCGCTCCCTGATTTTTTTTTGGGGGGAGGGGGTTTAGATCTTTTTATTAACTACATATAAACACACAACACCGCTGCGGCTAGAGCTGCCAGCTCTTGTTTTTTTGTTTTTTTTCGACCTGTCAATCAATCCAGTAGGCGTGTCAGCAAATGACCAGTCGGCGACCTCAATTTGTCCCAAATGTAAACGTCCCTCGTCTGTGGAGCTGCTTTACAGCTGTTCAGGGTGTACGCTCGAGTATGAAGTCTGAACCCTCTGCGTACAGTACGCATGTACAGTACGCACGTACGTACGCGTGAACGGACGTATGCGGGAGTATACTGGGGGCTTTATGTTCAACAGATCTTAAGCTTAATTTTATTTAGTTTTTTGGGAAACTTCACCTGCACTTTAGTTTTTGTGTTGGATTTTGTTGATCTATATTTTGTGCAGACTTTTTCAATCTACATAACAGAAGGATCATTTTTATTTTTAGACTTTGAGACTGAATACTTTACTGAATAAAGTAATTTCAGTCAAATTAACTCTTGTTTTTTTATTTTTTTATATAATACTGCAAAGGAACATGTTAAGTTAATTTTATCAAATAAATAACTATGATTTCTGGGGGGGGTGGGTGGGGGGTTGTGGTTATATCTCGAAATTTATCGTTATCATCAGAATGCTCTGAAATATTCTTGGACTAGCCTTTAGCTCGTCGGTCTGGTCAGATTCAAACTCTGAGGTCCTTCAAAGAGCTGTCTGCAGAATGTTCACGACCTTTCTACAGAAGTCTACTTCAACATGGCCAAACTGGATATACGGCTGAAGGTTCATTGATGTCTTGTGCTTTGAAGTTTGATCACAATAACAGATTTTTGTTTGTTTGGTTGTTTTCCTCGCATCACTTTGGTACATCAGGACTCTTACTCCTCATCTTCATCATCTTTAATTGAGTTTTGGGAAGATGTAAGTTGGTCTTGAGTAGATGGAAGTCCGTGTGTGTATCCATGTAGAGGAGCGTGACCCCGTACGACTTTTTAGAAACATCAGAGGTGTTCCTGTTCATGAAGGGTTAGAAGATGCCTCAGAACCAGCATCATCTCCTTTATTCACAGTCGTTGCAGTTAATCATGCTGACTTCCTGAGTGCCTCCTTCCTGATAATCATCAGTGTTTATTCCATCCTGTTTCTGCCCTCGGAGCTCCTCCCATCACCATCAGACGCAGTGCCTCCCAACCAGAGAAGCTGGCCTGTACAGGAAAGCTCTCTGAGATAACCGAAGTGTAGTTTGAAGAACTTCATTTTGAAAACAGCCCTTAAACATCAGCTTTTGGGTTGAGTCCAACTAAAAGATGTGGCTTAAAGAGAACGCAACATCAAATAAAAACCCTGAAGGTTGGGAGCTGCTGCCGGCTGTGGTACATTTTCCTCCTGTCTCCCTGAGCCTGTGTGTTTTCAGCAGTGAGACAGCTGTTCTAACGTTCACTCATGTGTCTCTCTGCCTGTCTCCTGCCACCGAAGCGCTCGCCATCCGTTGGCCCGACTAGCAAAGGCAGACGTGTAAGCACCATCACTGAAACCTCCTCCTCTAAATGTCTCGTCTGTTTCACTGCGGTGCATCGCTGCCTGTCTGATTGCATGGCACCGAGAACACTTTCCTGTTATTACTGCACATTATTTTCTGTTGTTGTGGCGATGCTGTGTGTGTCTGTGTGTTAATGGCGGTGCATGGGTTGTTTCGATCATTAGACTGGGACGGGTTAGAAAACGCATCAAGTGGATGGGACTTATTTTCATAACAATACTTTGGGTTGGAAAACGTTTTCAGTTTGGCTGCACAAAATATCCAAATAAATGAAGTCACATGAGGAAAAACGTCACACAGACATCCCTTTGAGCAAGATTACATTAATAAATACAAATGGGAAGATTAAAGTACAGCAAATCTGACATTAGAGCATCAATTAGAGAAGCACCTCATAGGCCAAAGATGACCCTGAAGCTCAGCTCTGCTGCAGAGATGATGGCATCTGTCCACAGGACCACCAGAAGCTGCTCAGAGCTGAGAATGAGAGAGCTGACAGGAAAAAGTCATAGATTAAAACTGTTTGAAGTGTTGAGTAAAATTGAACCTTTTATTCATCAAGGACAACACAAAGTCTGCTGCAAACCTCACACCTCTCGTCATGCCGAAAACAGCATCTCTACATTGAAGTATGGTGGGGGCAGCATCATACCGAGGGCTGTTCTTCCTCAACAGAGGCTCAGTAACTGAATGGAGGTGAAAGACAGATGAATAGAGCAAAATATGAGAGAAACTTGAGTCTTCCAGAGAGTAGAGACAGGGACTGAGGTCCACCTTCCAGCAGGACCATGACCCTCATCGTCCAGCTGAGCAACACTGTCACAACGGAGCTGGTAAACCCAGTGGTGCAGGCAGGCAGTCGAGGACTCAGGAGTAGAGATTAAATAAATAATTTATTTTCAGACAAAAAGGCAGTAAAACTTGAATAAGATCCAGTAGTACACAAGGAGCTGAACAGGACGTCACCAGAAGACAGATAATGCCAGGATGACGAGTAAGACAAACACATAGGCTTAAATACAGAGACTAACGAGGACTAACACACAACACCTGTCAGGCACACAGGTGTTGGGAATAAGGTGAGACACAACAAGCAGGACAAAGACTGGGGATCAGGCATATGCAAGACATGAACAGAACACAAGATGGAGCCAGAGACCAGGAACACAAACCCTACACACACCAGTGGTTGAAGGAAAACCAGGTCGATGTTCTGGACTTGTCCAGTCAAAGCCTGGACCTTAGTCCAACTGAGAATCTGCGGTCTAATTTAAAGATGAACACAAGCAGCACCATCCAACCTGACGGAGCTGCAGCTCTTTGTTCATGAAGAACCAACAGCTGTCCCACTGGTTCTTTGGGCCAACATTATGGAGACGAGCCTAAAATGAGATCTTCTGGGGCTATAGATGCATTTATCACTTTCAGGGTTTTTTCCATAATTGTAGAGTATTTTTGTTGAGGGTCTTATTCCTCCAGGTTGTAGGACAGCAGATACATGAAGGAACTGGGGTTCTTCAAGGTGTTTCAAGCATGGATGCTGCATGTTTCTGTTCTGTTAGTTTAATGGCTAACACTTCATGTTCTCCTTCTTTTGTCTCATATAACTTTTTTGGTAATTTCTCTTATTTTCTTCGTCCTCCTCTCAGTTGTCGTCTTCTCTCCGTTTTTCCTGTATCTATACAACCTCCTCCTCTCAATCTCTGCCTTGTTGTCTTCAGGTGGACTCCATGGACACTATGAATAACTACACCCCCTCCAACACTCCGTCACGGGACGACGACCTCAAGTCCCACCTCAAGTCCCGTTCTCGTTCACCGTCCATGGCCAGTGACATGGAGCCTATTGAGGTCAGAAACCAGTCATTTACCTAACAGAAGTGTCTCTACCACCTCGTGGACTCACCAGGTTAACAAGGTTTCTTGTCGTCCATGGGCATGGCTTAATGTTGGTCTTTAAACAATCCAAAGATGGTTGAGCAGTCAGAATGCCCTGAGTGTGTTTGGTATGTTGAACGACTCGTTCAGGTAATTAAATTGTGTCCAGCTGCAGCTCACAGTGCTGCTGCTGCTGAGTCCAGCGTGAATATGGAAGAACACTGACACCAGGAGAGTCCACCTGGAATGTTCTCAGGATGTTTCAAAGTCTGGTCCTGGATTGGGTGATGTCCCTGCTCAGAGTTTTTGTTTGTTCTGCAGCTGATAGACCTTCCAGCCCGTTCAGTTCAGACCCCCACCATGCGCCCGGGAGCCTATGGCAGTATTGGACGTTCTTCACCCAAGGTTAGATGGTTTCCTCAAGAGTTCTTCTCTGCTGACCAACAGTTTGAACACCACTGAATGTTATTTTCTCTTCTCTCAGCCCAAAGCTCACCAGTTTGTTGTGAAGTCCTTCAACACACCCACAAAGTGCAACCAGTGCACTTCCCTCATGGTGGGGCTCATTCGACAGGGTTGCACGTGTGAAGGTAGGAGAAGGAGAAACCTTTAAACACTTCAGTTGCTGATTGGTTGTGAAGCCTCTCATGTGTGTGTTTGTGTCCAGTGTGTAATTTCTCCTGCCATGTTACGTGCGCGGACAAAGCTCCAGCCGTGTGTCCGGTGCCCCAGGACCAGACCAAGGGTCCGCTGGGCATCGATCCCCAGAGAGGAATCGGGACGGCGTATGAAGGACACGTGAGGGTAAGTATGCATCACTGTGACCTGGTGAGACCTTCTTAAACTGATCTGCACTAGGTTGAAGTATTAATGTGTGTGGTTCAGGTGCCCAAACCATCAGGGGTGAAGAAGGGTTGGCAGAGGGCAATAGCGGTGGTGTGCGACTTCAAACTGTTCCTCTACGAGCTGGGGGAAGGAAAAGCAACACAACCAAGTGTGATAATCAGCCAAGTCATAGACATGAGGTAGATATGAACGTGAAGCCTGTCTGAGTGTTGTTGTCAGGTCTGCTTGATAAAAACAAGTCAGATGTTTGTTAGTTGTGCTTTTGGTCTAAAATTCAGACACATCCAGCTGTGGTCTGACGATGACTCAGCGCTTCATCATGGTTTGGTCTTTAGTCAGACGATAAACTGAAACATTTAATTATATTTCTTCCAAGACTTGTCCAGGATGGTGTGACGCCTGCAGTGATCAGGCTGAACGCTTGTCGTGTTTTTGTCTCTCAGGGACGAGGAGTTTTCAGTTAGCTCTGTTCTGGACTCGGACGTCATCCACGCCAGCCGCAAAGACATTCCCTGCATCTTCAGAGTAAGTCGTCTTTAGGACTTCTGCTGCGTTCTTAGAGCTCCATCAGAACCCTGTGGAACCCTCAGCACTGTGCTCTGTCCTCAGGTGACGGCATCCCAGCTCTCCCCCACCAGCAGCCAGAAGACCTCCATCCTGGTCCTGGCTGACAGCAACCAGGAGAGGAACAAGTGGGTGGGCCTCCTCAACGAGCTGCACCGCATCCTCAAGAAGAACAAGCTGAAGGAGCGCTTCGTCTACGTCCCCAAGGAGGCCTACGACAGCACGCTGCCCCTCATCAAGACCACCCAGTCTGCTGCTATTATAGGTGAGGACTCAAACCGCCGGAGCTCTGCAAGAGAAGGCCTCAGTCACAGACCTGGTCCTCTTACCGTGATGTTTCTGCGTCTGATTGTAGAGCCTCTGGGTTTGTTGATCTTTCTACTCCTCTTTATGATATACGCTCATCAAAAGACGGACATGTTACGGTCTCCGTCCATAAACTTTTTGTACTGCCCGTAACTTTGAATCTACTCAAAATATTTTAATGAAACTTCACGTGCATTTACATCATTGTGTTGTACGCTTCATTCCCCTAGCTGTGGGGTCAAGCTTTCAGATCAGAGGTAGACGGGACATTTTCCAGGTTGTCCAGGACCTCCTGACAGAATCTGGTTGTCTGCAGCCTTTACGATCAAAACATCTCAAGAAACACGTCATTTAATTAGTATATTACATTGTATACAGAGTTTATACTAATGTTCTCAGGCATTCATCTTGTGGACTTCTACTGAGACACCAACTCTTTAAGGAGCTGCTGGAGAGGAACTTCCTCAAGTTCAAGTTATCCTCAAGGGGCAATTCGTTTCAGTCAGTACACACATAAAACATCCATACTCGACAAGACATTGAGACATTAAAATATACATGAAATCATCAATGTTCAATGAGAGACCTGATCTCTACAGGGAAGAATGAGTTTTTCAGTCTGTTCTTTCTACATCTGGGCAGCAGATACCTGCGTCCAGATGGAAGCAACCTGAACTCACCGTGGAGTGGTGATCAGGATCTGCCAGAATCAGTCCGGTCTTGTTTACTGACCTCGACTTGTGTAGGTCAGTGAGGTTCTGTAGGTCCGTGAGGTTCAGTAGGTCCATGAGGTTCTGTAGGTCCATGAGGTTCCAGCAGTTCTGCTGCACATCCTGACAATCCCCAAGAGTTTGTTCCTGGTTTTACGTCAATAGTCCAAACCAACAGATGAAGGTAAGCTCTGTTTAAGTCGTTCTCCTCTTCCTCTTCCAACTTTGAAGACAGGCACTCTTAAAACACACGTAAAACTTAAAATACCACGAGGAACTGAATTAAGCTGATATTTATGATCAAATACAAACAGCCTACTTACTAGTTAACAAGTTAACAGAGACTCACATTTTATTATTTTATAAGAAGTCAAACGCAGCCTGTTTCACTGTGAGGGACACTCATGTTGAGCCCCCCCCCCCCCCCCCCAAAAAAAAATCTACTTTGAAGACCGGAAGTTTGGTCACGTGTGCAGGTTGTACATCAGAGTCGGAGTCAAAGATTCTTTATTGTCGTTCGCACCACATGTGGTACATGTGAAATTATGTACACAGGGTCCCAGTTACATCCAACAATAAAATGTAAAAGAAAATCAGTAATAAGATCCAAGATATGAACTAAGAAAACATCCATTTTCATTTTCTTCCGCTTATCCAGGGTTGGGTCGCGGTGGTAGCAGCTTAAGTAGGGAGGCCCAGACTTCCCTCTCCCCAGCCACTTGGGCCAGCTCCTCCGGGGGAATCCCGAGGCGGTCCCAGGCCAGCCGAGAAACATATGCCCCTTTTCCATTAGTACCTGTAGTACCGGTACAGCACAGCTCTACTCTACTCGGTATGGTACAGGTTGTGTTTCCATTATGCTTTCAGTACTGGTTCCAGTGGGCGGGGTTCAAATTGACGTCACCACCTCCCACCAGCTGGTGGCGCTGAGACGCAGTAACTGTTTTCAGTACAGGTTGAGAATTTATGTTATTTTGAAGTTGTGTGCATGTATGTATGCATGTATGTGTGTATGTACATGTGTATAAATATATATATATATATATATACATATATATATGTATTTCTATTTATATCTTCACTTCCGGCGAGCTGATGGACGGCAGCTCCCTCCGGCTTCTCTGCAGTCTTTTATCATCAAACTGACCCGTTTTTTCGAACCGGACTAAAGTTGGTCCTCCTTCCAACCGAATTCAGTGTTCAGTGACTCGGAGAGCCAGACGGGACCGTCCAAAAATATATTTTGGTCCAGGACCGGCCGCTCCCACCCCACCGGTCACTCTGAGCGCACCCTGCCTTCCAGGTGACCCCTCGAGCCGGGGAGTCGTCGCACGAAGGTCCGGTGTTTTTTTTTCTCTCTCTCTGGACCTCAACAAACTCTTATCTGGACCTTTGTGGTTCTACCTGGTTCCGACAAAAATCGCCGGGTGGTATTTCGCTGGTTTTCTGCTGGACTGGCCCTCGTGGTGTCTTCATAGGTGTGGGGGAAGTGTACCTGTGACCCTCGAATTGGACCAGAACCGAACCGAGGTGGCTGTGGGGATTTCGTCTTCAACAGAGCCGGTCTCGGCTTCAGTGAGCAGCCCGTTACTTTCACCGAAGGACTGTCCACCTCTGTGGAATCGCTGTGTTCACCTGGAGGAGACGCTCCAGTGCTTTGAAGCGCCGCTGGACTTGAGCAGAACCGCGCCGCCCGACCGGAGCAGAACCGGGCCAGGGATATCTTCAGCCTCTTCGTCTCTCGTGCTGTGTAGCGCCGGAGCCGGACTGGAGCAGAATCGGACCGGACCAGTGTCGACTTCAGCCTCTCCGGTCAGTCTCGTTTTTCACCGGGGGTGCCTCTCGTGCTGTCGGGTGCGGAGGTGTCATGCAGAGAAGCAGGGGAGCAGCGCTGCGTGGTGCTTGAGAGAAGTTCGGAGTTTGTATCGGAGCGGCTGCAGGCCTCCATCCAAACTCACCTGGATAATAATTAATTTTATTCCGGATCACACTGTTGGCCCCTGTTGACCTGAAACGAGCTTGGATCATGCCTTTCACTTCAGGAGGATTTTCTGGCAGCTCGCTCTGCTATTTGCTGCGAATTGTCTGTTTCTGTTTCGGCCTGTTGATTCTGGACCCAGCTTCTGTTTCCCATGGGAGCATCCATCCATCTTCACTGGGGGGCCGGAGCCGCCCTCAGCCCAACTCAAACTGCAGTTGGGCCACCTCGTCGGGTTTGTTTGCCCATTTGAACTGTGACGTTTTATGATCTGAAACTTTTCTGCATCATTCATATTATTGTCACTATTTTCAGTTCTCAGACTATCTGGAGTCACTGAATCTTGTTAATACACCTGAATCTGTCCATCACTGCAACTTTCACTGTTTTTGGGTTCTGAATGATCACATCTTCATTAATGTTTCTCATGGTTCGATTATAGGGGCTAATTGTCACACTGTTAACTCCTACAATTACACATCAGTCACAAAAAACTCAAGAAAATGTCTGATAATAATGTTGTTACTGCTCTCAGGGATTCAGCCCAACCCTGGACACCCCACTAATTACAGCACACCAAATGACTTTAAGAACGTGTCTGGGCTTCATTTTCTGCATGTAAACGCTCGTAGCCTTCTGAAAAAACTTGATGCTTTGAAAATTCTGATCAGTTCTTCTGGGTGGGGCAGATGTTATCTTTATTTCTGAAACCTGGATCAACAAATCTGTAATGAATAATGACCTGGCAATCAATGGATTTAACATCTACCGCTGTGATCGTCAAAAAGGGGGGGGGGGTCGCTGTTTACATCAAAGATTCTTTGATTGCTAGTCTTGTGTCTTCTAAAACAATTCCAAACCAATTTGAAGCCTTATCTGTAAACATCACCTTGAATGGAGGTCAGATATTAACTGTAGTCTGCTGCTACCGCCCCCCCCCCCCCCCCCCAGCATCACCTGAGGCTCTGTCTGCACTGAAGGAATTTCTTGGTAATTTAAAATTCAAAGAGATCCTTTTGGCTGGAGACCTCAACATTGATTGGTGTAAGTCGACCCCCCTCTGTGATAAATTCAAGGAATGCTGCCTGTCTCTCAATTTAACCCAACTGATCAACTCTCCCACTAGATTAAATAAAAATCGTCCTGAAAAATCTTCCATCTTAGACCTATTTCTAACTAATATGCCTCACAAATTCCCTGGTACAGGTGTATTCGCTGATATTTTGAGTGATCATTGTGTGACAGCTGCTTTGAGAGATATTAAACTTCCACCTTCTAAGCCCAGATTAATTCAAAAAAGGGATCTGAAACGTTTTTGTGAACAGTCATTCCTCTGGGATCTGTGTCACTTTGACTGGCATCGTATTCTGTTAACTGATGACGTGAACTCCGCTTGGAACTATTTTCATAATAGTTTCATTTTTTTCGTGAACAAACATGCTCCTTTACGTCAGTTCAGAATAAAGGGACGAGACAACCCCTGGTTTACTCCAGAGCTAGCTGACCTCCTGCACAGGAGAGATCATCTTTGGGCTGCAGCGAGAAAATCTGACTCAGACACTGACTGGTTGAGTTTTCGACAGATGAGGAATAAATATACAACTAATGTCAAAGCAGCAAAACGCAACTATTTCTTATCTCAGACCTCCAAAAATCTAAATGACCCTAACAGATTCTGGAAAACCATCAAATCTCTCTCAGGCACCCTCCAATCATCTGACCTCCCATCACAACTTCTCATTAACTCTGTTCCTGTGTCAAATAAGCACGAGATCCTGAACTGTTTCAACACACACTTTGTTGCTTCTAGTTCTTTATTTGACACAGTTACTAACAGACAATCAGCCACTTCACTTAATAATCAAACTTCTACAAATCAAATCCCTCCTACAAGTCAATCCTCAGTTAATCACAGCTTCTCTTTTTCTCCATTCTCAGTCAGTGAGGTCAATAAACTGTTATAAGATCTTGACCCTAAAAAATCTGCAGGTCCTGATGAACTTCCACCTTATTTTTTAAGGCTGGCTGCTCATATCATCACAGTCCCTGTGACCCATATATTCAATCTCTCCATAAGACAAAACTCTATCCCAGACACTTGGAAAACAGCCTTTGTTCTTCCTTTGCTGAAGGGAGGTGACCCCACCTCACTGAACAACTATCGACCAATCTCTAAACTCTGCATTTTAGCCAAGGTTCTAGAAAAACTGATAAACTCTCAAATCAAAAATTACCTGGACTCATTTAACATCTTACCTCCCCATCAATCCG